GCACGGGCGAGGATGAGAGAAAGGACAAATATGAAGGGGCCCCAGGACACACAAATAAATAGACACAAATAAAAAGATTCCCCATATTTTCCCATATTTAGCGGGTTTTGTTTTCCCCCCCACTTCCCATATTTTCCAATATTTTCTAGGGGATCGACGATTAATTGTGTCTGTGTGTTTTCCCCTCCTGAGAATGGAAGGACAACAAGCGGCACAAACATAAACGTTTGGCGGTCCGCGCGGATTTCCTGGATCAGAGCTGGCCCCCCCCTCCATGGTGCATCCAGGAAATCCGCGCGGAGCGTCAAAAGTTTGTGGTCATGGCGCTTTCTTTTTGGAACGAGGGGACGGCAGGGCAAGTTCTTCTTTCTTGTTCCCCCGCTCGGCTATCTGCTCTCGGCGCCGGCTCTGGAGGGACCTGGCGGACAGCTTCGCCGCCACCGCCGCGCGACGGGGCTCGGCCCCCGTAGCAGGGCGAAGGAGGCGACGGAGCGGCACGACAGGCCAATCTGAGTCGGACGATGCTCTGTCTACGAGAACGGCGCCCATGCACCGCACCATGTCTGGACTCCCTTCAGGCCCCGCTCCAGCGCGGTATGGTGCATACAGTCGGCACGTATCATAAGGATGCGCGATAAGGACGCAAGCCTTGGAAGCCCAGTTCGAAGCTTCTCGGGCGGTGCGCGGCCAACGAAAGTGGCCAAGGATGGACCGAGGAGGCCAGGATGCAAGGGTATCCTTGGGAAGGCTGCCCATCCTTACTATGCGGGTTGACTGTAGTTGTTCGGCTCTGAGGGCCGAGAAAACTAAGCACCGTACCGTTCCTGGGTCGAGAATCGACGACGCCTCGAGAGGCGCCAACGCGGCACGGTGCCACATGTCGTGCGCGGACCGTCCGCCTGGCCAGCAGCAGGAACCAGAGGCTGCTCGTAGTGTTCGTTGCGGGGGGACTGCACCACTCCGCGCGAATGCTGCAGTGGCTCTCTTCACTTGGACGGGGTGGGGGGGGCAAGAGGGAGGCAGAGGGCGAGGAGGGCAGGAGCAGGTGAGAAGGGTGAACGGGAGGGAGAAGGAGGGGATTTGGGAGGGGAGAGCGAGGGGAGAGGGAGGAGGGGAGGAGCAGGGGATGGGGGAGGAGCAGAGGAGGGGAGGAGGGGATTGGGGATGGGATGGGGGAGGGAACGGGAGGAAAACCTCCTGGCCCGCAGCTGACGCCATAATAGCAAGTTGAAGAGGCGTGGAGTTACCTTGGGCCCTCCTCCGGGGACGTCGTCGTTGGCCGAGGGCCCCTTGGAGGAGTCCTCGGCCACCTCCGGTGGCCACTGACGCCACCACGAGGGGCGCGGAGAGCACCACACAGACGCTCCTGCACTCGCGCTCCCCGAACAGCGCTCGAGCCTGCGGGGTCTGGCCTGCGCTTCGAGGAGCCGGCCCCGCGTGGCGGGGTCGGGCAGCAGCCGCCCCGCGAGGGGCGCCTCGCCGGCTCGGGCGTGCGCCTGGATAGGGGGCTGGGCACTGGTGCTGGGCATGGGCCTTGGCCGTGGCCTCGAACCGCGGGTTTGGGCTCGGACTTCGGCCAGGACGCGGGTCTGGATGCGGGTCTGGATGTGGACTCGGAGACCGCTTCAAAGGTGGTCAGGCTGCGGATTTGCATGTGGAGTCAGGCGCGGGTGTGGGTCTAGACGTGGTGTTGACGTTGGTTTGGACGTAGGTTAGAGAGTGTGTTTGGACGTGGATTTAGACGCGGGTTTGCAGATGGGTTTGGACGCGGATTTGGATATGAGGTCGGCCCTGGGTTTGGACGCGGGACTGGGCGTTGGTTAATTTTGCACGCGCACAGGTGGGCTTACTCATAAAGGCTCACACTCCCACTCCCGCACGCACACATGCACAAAGGCTCACACTCTCACACGCTCCCACTCCCACACGCACTAAGCAAGAGCCACATTTTGAAAACCACCCGCCCTCCATCCTTGAAACTGTTGCAACGTTCCAAGACGAGTGTGCGCGGCGCTGAGGCGAGAGCCGCATCCTCAGAAAGAACCACCCTCCAACCTTGAAACGATTGCAACATTCTAAGACGAGTGTGCGCGGCGCTTAGGCGAGAGACACACGTTCAAAAAGAACCGCCCTCCATCCGTGAAATGGATCGAAAATTCTAAGGCGAGTGTGCGCGGCGCTAAGGCGAGACCACATTTTGAAAATGAACCGCCCTGCATCCTTGAAACTGTTGCTTAAAGCTTCAGGACCATAAATGGTGAGGAAGTCTCAGGCGAAACGCCCGGCCCGTCCTACCAACTCGTCTGGCGGGTGCGACAGGAAGGAGATGAGGAAGGAGGGAGGAGGGGGGCAGGAGGAGGATGGAGAGAGGGATGGGGAGGAGGATGGAGGGGAGGGGGATGGAGGCAGGGAGGGAGGGAGGGAGGAGAGGGGAGGGAGCCGGGGGCGCCTTGGGGAGCGTCTCCAACGTGCCCAGGAACGGCCGGGCGAGCCCGGCCATCTCGTAGAGGAGGATGCCCAGACTCCAGATGTCCGTCTTGTGGTTGTACCTCGCGAGGGGGGGAGGGGGGGGCGGATGATCCCATATTTCCATATTTCGGTGGCGCACCCAGGGGGGAAGGCGCCGCTGACCAAAACCAGTCTCAGCACCAACTGGTTCTGCACCCTGAGACTGCCGCATCAAATCAGTGGGGGCGCCGCAGATGTGAAGCAGACGGAGCTTGACATTCGGCGGCAGCGGGCCCGAACCTCTGGCGCCGCAAGAACGACGTCGGAGACGAGGCGCGCAGATATGGGGAAGCCAGCCGCCCCGCGTCTGCGCACGAGCGCCGCTGGGCGCCTGGAGCAGGCTTGTGAGAGCTGGGAAGCATGGGCTCGCCAGCTCTCACAAGCTGTTCGACCCCAGCCTGCCTGGGGACCTGCAGGAGGAGGAACGGATCCGCCGACCCCAGCTCGCCACGCGTGAAGCGGCGTGCGAGACGTTCGGCTGTCCCCCCTCCCCTGTGGCACCGTCCCCTGGGGTCCAAATACGGCAGGTTCGTGTCGTGCCGACCCCAGCGTTGGTTTTTGACACCGCAGGGATCGTTCAACCTTGAACGATCGGCCGCTGCCGCAACGTCCGATCGTTCAACGTCGATCGATTCTGGGTCGCCGGCGGCGTTCAACCTTGAACGCCCACGCTGGGGTCGCCGCTGGTCGACACGACGCAAACCTACCGTACCACTAGAGCGTGGGGGATGCACGAGCGGCTCATCAGCGCACCTGCAGGGCCATCGCCGCCTCCAAAATACCACCCTCCGTGGCTGGCCGCCAGGATGCCCAAGCTTCCTTCCGGGGTGGCTTCAGACGGGCACCAAGACGCTGGAGAGGCCTCAAGAACGCGCAAGATGGCCCCAAGACGGCCCCAGGACACCCCCTCGACGCCCCAAGAGGGCCCCAAAAGGACCCCCAAGAAGGCCAGAAGAGGCGAAAGCCATTGATGTTCCGTAGGTGTTTGAATGATGTTCGCGTTCTCGCCTTTTTCGGACTCGACAGGCCCCCGCGACCTGCCCAAGACTGCCCTGAAGGCCCCCCTGGTTGGAGACGCCCCGAGAAAGCCCCAAGACGGCCCAAGACGGCCCCAAATACAGCCGAACAGGCCCTCAAGAGGACCTCAAGGGGGAGGGGCCCAAGAGAGGCCCGAGAGGGGGGGCTCGCCAGGAACCCCCGAGCCCTCCCCCACAAGATAGCCCCCGAGACACCCAGCATGTCCCCACGGAGCCCCCCAGAGAGCCCCAAGAAGCCCCGAGCGGGGCCCACAAAAGCCCCAGGAGCCCCGAAAGGCCCCAGGAGGCTGCCCCCCGGACGCCTCCAAGAGGCCCCCAATAAGCCCCAGAACAGACGCAGAGGAAGAGGAGGAGGACGAGTCAGCAGGTTCTGGGGCATCCTTGCCGTTGTGCATTGTTCTGTGCCCCAGCGGTCTTCTCCTCCTATCTAATTCTCTTCGCCCGTCTAATCCGAAAGTGAACGCGCTGGCTTCACACCTTTGAGGTTGATCAAGCGCTGCGTTCCGATCAGTTCTTTCTAGAATCGCGGCCATGAAGATGCGACGGCTCACGCAAGCCAGCGCTTGTCCAAAGGAATAGTCAGCAGCAACTAACACGCAGGCAGCATGGCGGGACACGAAATCGGAAGCCGCCAACATCTCTTCTTCTGGGGGTCGGCGGTCACACGGGGTCCCCGATCCCTGCCCACACTGCTCCCCCATATCCCCGAGATCCTACGTCGGTGAGCAAGTGAATCATCGTGAAGCATGACGACGGGAGCCTTAGACCTCATCTTTCTGAGCCGTGTTTCGAACCAGATCGATCTGTGGTGGTCCCATGGGCCCGAAACTGGGCGAAGACGCCCAGCTCGGAAAAAATGAAACGCCAGGATCTCAGGGATGCTGCAGTGGCGACATGGAGCGGAGGGGTGCAATTCCATAGCGGCCTGTGAACGAACATGCGCGGTTCGCAGCCCTGCCGGGCACCGAGCAGCAGCTTGGCGTCTCCCTCGTTGCTTCCGCCTCCGCGGCCACCCTCCCGGCACCCAGACATCCGACGACCTGGTTTCGTTCAACCCGCGGCCCCAGGAGGTCTCGACCCCAAGCCGTCCAGAAGCTACTGTTTCTGGTCCCGGGGCCCGAGAACGGGCCCGACGCGTCCAAGAGGGGGGCGTCCAAGAGGGGGGGGCGCGCGCAAATCGCGGTGCGGCAAGTGCGCATCGGGGGGGGGCAGGGAACGCGTTGAAAGAGGAAGAGGGGGGCACGAAATCGGGGGAGAGGTCATGGCCCTGGCCATGACGTCCACGCCCCCTGATCATCAGCCCCATCTTGGCCGCCCCCGAGGGCCCAGAGGCCGAAACAGACGCAAAACGCCAGGACCAAACAAAACATGGCCGTCGAAGATCTGGGCACACCTATTCCCACGCGCATCGGGGCAGATTCCCACCCCCCCGCGGCTGTCGAGGGCGTTCACTTGCTGGCCGACGCTCTCAACGCCGCGCGGTGTGAAACCGCGCGAACACGCGCGCAATCGCGCTGGGTGAACAACCATCATGCTGCCACGAAGAACAAAAATGGCATATCTGGCCGCGGAGAGTCTCGGCCACGAGTAGGTCCCCCGACCTGGATCTAAGGAACGGCCCGAAAACCAGCCCATTCTGAACCCACAGTGGTGCATATTTCAATGTCTGGACTGCACCGTGGGAGATCTGGCAACATCTGCTCTGACGCGCATCGGGATTCATTCCTGGCCCGCGGCTGCCGAGGGCGCGAAGGGTGGCCGTGCGACCACGCGGGCAATCGTGTTCGATGTGTATGTATATGTGTGTAAATTTATATATACATATATATGTCTGTTTATGCATATATATACACATGTATAAATATATATATATATATATATATATATATATATATATATATATGTATATATACACATATATACGTATGGACATACAGAGACAGCGGCAGAGAGAGAGACATGCATAACTATACACATGCGTACATTTGCATACGCGTACACATACATACAGACATACATACATACATGCACACAGACATAGGTCTCCGCACGCACCATGAACCCCCTTTTCTCTTGAAGGATGCCAAGAGAAAAAAGGGGCGGAAGGCGGGCGCGGCAACCGTAAAGGAAGAAGTGTCACATAATGGTTGCTCGCGTGATGGAGAAGAGAACTGTTGAGTATCCGGAGCAGTGTTTGAGACGAAGGGTGTGGAGTACTGGATGGTGTGTTGGAGACGGAGGGAGTAAGTAGAAGGTTATGTTCAAGGTCAGCTTGGGGAGGGAGCCTATTGAGTATCGGGTGCTGCGTTGGGGACGGAGGGTGTTGAGTACTGGATGGAGTGTTGGAGACGGAGGGAGTTGAGTAAAAGGTAATTTTCAAGTTCAGCTTGGGGAGGGAGCCTGTTGAGTATCGGGTGCTGTGTTGGGGACGGAGGGTGTTGAGTACTGGATGGTGTGTTGGAAACGGAGGGAGTTGAGTAGAAGGTTATGTTCAAGGTCAGCTTGGGGAGGGAGCCTGTTGAGTATCGGGTGCTGTGCTGGAGACGGAGGGTGTTGAGTACTGGATGGTGTGTTGGAGACGGAGGGAGTTGAGTAAAAGGTAATGTTCAAGTTCAGCTTGGGGAGGGAGCCTGTTGAGTATCGGGTGCTGTGTTGGGGACGGAGGGTGTTTAGTACTGGATGGTGTGTTGGAGACGGAGGGAGTTGAGTAAAAGGTAATTGTCAAGTTCAGCTTGGGGGAGGGATCATGTTGAGTATCGGGTGTGTTGTTGGGGATGGAGGGTGTTGAGTACTGGATGGAGTGTTGGAGACGGAGGGAGTTGAGTAAAAGGTTATTTTCAAGTTCAGCTTGGGGAGGGAGCCTGTTGAGTATCGGGTGCTGTGTTGGGGACGGGGGGTGTTGAGTACTGGATGGTGTGATGGAGACGGAGGGAGTAAGTAGAAGGTTATGTTCAAGTTCAGCTTGGGGAGCGAGCCTGTTGAGTATCGGGTGCTGTGTTGGGGACGGAGGGTGTTGAGTACTGGATGGTGTGTTGGAGACGGAGGGAGTTGAGTAAAAGGTTATTTTCAAGTTCAGCTTGAGGAGGGAGCCTATTGAGTATCGAGTGCTGTGTTGGAGACGAAGGGTGTTGAGTACTGGATGGTGTGTTGAAGACGGAGGGAGTTGAGTAAAAAGGTAATTGTCAAGTTCAGCTTGGGGAAGGAGCATGGTGAGTATCGGGTGCTGTGCTAGAGACGGAGGGTGTTGAGTACTGGATGGTGTGTTGGAGACGGAGGGAGTTGAGTAAAAGGTAAGTTTCAAGTTCAGCTTGGGGAGGGAGCATGTTGAGTATCGGGTGCGTTGTTGGGGACGGAGGGTGTTGAGTACTGGATGGAGTGTTGGAGACGGAGGGAGTTGAGTAAAGGTAATTTTCAAGTTCAGCTTGGGGAGGGAGCCTGTTGAGTGTCGGGTGCTGTGTTGGGGACGGAGGGTGTTGAGTACTGGATGGTGTGTTGGAGACGGAGGGAGTAAGTAGAAGGTTATGTTCAAGTTCAGCTTGGGGAGGGAGCCTGTTGAATATTGGGTGCTGTGCTGGAGACGGAGGGTGTTGAGTACTGGATGGAGTGTTGGAGACGGAGGGAGTTGAGTAAAAGGTAATGTTCAAGTTCAGCTTGGGGAGGGAGCCTGTTGAGTATCGGGTGCGCTGTTAGGGACGGAGGGTGTTGAGTACTGGATGGAGTGTTGGAGACGGAGGGAGTTGAGTAAAAGGTTATTTTCAAGTTCAGCTTGGGGAGGGGTCCTATTGAGTATCGGGTGCTGTGTTGGGGACGGAAGGTGTTGAGTAAAAGGTTATGTTCAAGTTCAGCTTGGGGAGGGAGCCTGTTGAGTATCGGGTGCTGTGCTGGAGACGAAGGGTGTTGAGTACTGGATGGAATGTTGGAGACGGAGGGAGTTGAGTAAAAGGTTATTGTCAAG